AGTTCGACGTGCCAGTTATTATTTTTTTTTAATTGCAATCATACATGCTTCATATTTTGTATACAAAAAAACAATGATATTCCTATACGAATAGTAGTCATGTTCAATGATCAGCAGCATCTTTAGTTTCATTTAAGTATTGGACCTTGTTCTGCTTATTACTACTCATCACATCGGCACGTTTTGTTCTAATCTTTATTCTTCGATAGAAACTTTTCGAGCTAGACCGGTAAAAATACTTATACCAGCCTTGAACAAATGAACAAATAACATTCCAGAAGTGGCTTCTTAATGGACGGAGTGTACAAAACAAGCCCTGATCTTGCTTCGCATTCATGTAAACAGTGATAGTCGTATAACCATTATTGTCGTATATATTGGTTAATATTGGTATCGTTAATTGTCTCAATGTTGTTAAGCGTTTTTGCTGCTCATCATCGGAATCTGTCCGCGAACTAGTCCGGTGTGTTTTTCGCCACTTAGGGAGGGAGTACGAAGGAGTAAAGAGGCCTACCTTGTTTGCACTCGACCTCGGGGCTTCCGTAGTATCCGGGCGGGCAGGAGCAGTGGGCGCGGCGGTCGGCCACGCGGCACTGGGCGTTGGCGCCGCACGCGCCGGCCTGCGCGCACGGGTTGACGCAGCGGCCCGCGGCGGCGTCGCAGCTCTTGTCGGCGTCGCAGTCGGCGTCGCGCGCGCACTCGACGGGCGAGCACTCGCGCGAGGGCTCGCCGCGGAAGCCGTCGGGGCACACGCACACGGCGCGGTGGTCGGACACGTGGCACAGCGCGTTGGCTCCGCACGCGCGCCGCGCGCCGGGCGCCTGCGCGCACGGGTCGCGGCACTGGCCGCGCACGCACGCGCGGTCGGCGGGGCAGTCGCCGTGCGCGCGGCAGCCCGGCATGCACACGCCGCTCGAGCAGATCTGACCCTGCGCAGCGCACGCACACACACTCTTCACACTCACAGTTCACTCAACTGGTTCCGATACATTAGGACTTTTAGGTGTTCAATAAACGGAAAATATTTATTTTACGTGTGCTTAAAAATTGAAAAACATGTGTTAGAACAACAAAAATATTTATTTATTACCCCTATTGAAACCAGTAATCAATACCGAGAGGTCTTGAAGTAAAACGTGATGTCATTCTGTTCATCACGTTTCATTTTGGTCTGTGAAGTTTGATGATGAAGTTGCAGTTGACTGTGGCTGCTTGCTGAGCTGCTTGTGTTATGAGTGGGTGTTATCGCTATGAATGTTACTGCCTGAATCCACAGTAGTGTTAGATATGGTGCTTAGACATGTAGGTAGGGTGTGAACAAGATTCTCCCCACTCAATGGGGGACGTCCCATATTAAAATGTGATATGTGGTAACCTTTCCAATCAGTCATGTCTCGCCATGTATCCGAGAAGTATTACATAAAAGTATTACATTTTAAACCACTAAAACTATTCATTTATTCGTGTAAATGTAGCCTATTTCATAATAATATTTGTTTCGACGAGAATATTTATGTTTAGGTATCTTAATGAAAATTATTATTATTAGGAGATAAGCATCTTGGTGTGTAGAAACTGTGGGACGTTACTAGAATTTTCACTAAATTTTAAAAGCTCAAGATTAAGGGGGGAAATATGTATTTACCTAAAAGTCTGACCTCTAATAATAAGTATTTCCAGAAACGTTAAGCGATCGATTAGGCCTGTTTGAGCTTTTCTTCACAGAGAATAATATACTGAACTGTCCCTCAATACATGAGCGTTTTGCGGGTTGCCTACTTTGTCGTCATCTTCGGGGGCTTATTTTCTGCTTTTTCTTCCATGATCTAGCGGAGAAGCACCAGTTCCATCAGTATTACATATGAAAGGATATTTTGTGATACATGGCGGTTGCGTTAGGAAAGAAAAGTTGTATGCAACGCAAAAAATTACGTATTCCTAATTCCCGGTGTAATGTAGCGGAATACCGTTGTCACTCATCTCCCAGCGAGTTGGGTATTATGATAGAATATCCTAAAAACAAGCAGTATGATTTGCGAAATACTGGAGACAAGTTCGAAATATTCTCAGTTCAACGGAAATGTGGGTATGCAAATGTCTGCGTTTCCGTTGCGCTAGAAAGTTTAGCAGTAATACCTTGTACGTGTTTAAGAAGTTTTGTATCTCGTAATTAGTCTTGAAATGAAAGACCGTTCTTGACGGTCGAAGGAGCGAGTGGGGCGGCGGCGTGCGCGCGTACTCACGGGAGAGCAGGTGCCGGGTCCGGCGCAGCGCGCACGGCAGCGGCCGCGGGCGCACGCCTCCCCGCACGCGCAGTCGGCGGCCGACGCGCAGCGGCGCGCGCAGTAGCCCGCGTCGTCGCAGTCGGCGCAGTCGGGTGCGCCCTCGTGGCAGCGCATGGCCGGCTTGGAGCAAGCCACCAGCGGGTTGCCCAGGAAGTTGGCGGGGCAGCTGCACTGCACGCCGTGGTTGACGACGCGGCACTCGGCGCACGCACCGCACGCCTGCTCGCCCTCGCACGGGTCTGCGCACGACACAGCACGGGCGTTAGGCGACGTTCAAACTGAGCTCAGTTCCAAACTGAGACTGCGTTGGAATAGGAACTGCACAGGCCACTCTTAGGAGTGGATGTGCAATAATAAAAAAATATGAACTTCATTGTATTAATATGAAAATAGTCACTCTACGACATGTTTCTAAAATGTTTTGAAATGTCATTAAATAGGAGATCCATTACCGGAGATACTCTAGAAATATTAATTTTAAGAAAAGTTTTAAATTCTCTATTAATTAATTTCCAAGCTAGTTTTATGTTGTCCGGAATAAACATATTACAGTGCAACGATTTTAAGCTCGTTTATGGCTAAACATAGACGAGTAAGTAATTGATAATGCTCTTATTTATTCGGGGCAACGCAACTTTTGGGCTAACGGATAGTGGCATTGGCTTACTTCTGCACTGCTTGTTGACGCAGGCCTGGTCGTCGGGGCAGACGGTGTCGCTGCGGCAGCCCACGTCGCACAGGCGGTTCTCGCAGATGCGTCGCGCGCCGCACGCGGCGTCCGAGTTGCACACGGTCTTGCACACCCCGCGCACGCAGCGCTCGTCCGCCAGGCAGCTCTTGTCCCTGCGCCGCCGCGCGCGCGCTTCCAGTTAGGCAATGCGGATACAAACCTCTCCTCCTATCGAATCCTAGGACTTAGTCGTGTTCAGACAGAAGAGAATGGGTGGGGGAACTTCATTACATTTACGCAAGCAAGATACTAACAAGTACCCGCTCCAAAGTTCACTGTTCGCTCTGATGGAAGTACAGTAGCTACGAAAGCAAATAATCGGCTCACAGATCTGTTCTAGGTAATATATGAAAGGTTGCTCTCTGAATGAAACATATTTCATGTTCCTTTTCAGTTTTACACATGTGAGTTTCCTTAATTTGTAAGCCGGGGTAGAAAAAAAACTATACAGTTAACAGTGTACGGTTTAGAAATGTCTCTCATCAAACTCTAGAGAATGGGAACTCAACTGTTGTGATGTGCATTTTGGGAAATTGACAGACTTCAGTCTATTTCGCTGTGACGTGCCTGTCTAGGAATACGCTTAAGTCAGTCAGCATCCAAAGAGGCACATCTCACTATACAAATTCTGTTTTGTTCTCTCTTTTGTGACTGTTTGTCAATTTGTTTTCTCCTGGTGAGGAGAGGAACTATGTGTGACTAATTGGCCTCACGGTTGCAAATTCTTAACTAAGGTCCAGTATTAACCCTTTCGGCCGTTGTGGAGACGAATGGTTTTGATGAATGTGCGGAGATGTTGTAGTATAATGATGAGTCAATGTCAGACATGTGGTCGGGATTTGAAGACCGGTGGCGGCGGGCGGTACGTACGTTCTGCAGGTGGCGTGGCACATGCCGTAGTAGCAGGTCTGTCCGGCGGGGCAGTCGGCGGCGGCGCCGCACTCGGCGCTGGGCAGGCGGCACGCGGCGGACGGGTCGCCCACCAGCGGCGCCGGGCACGAGCAGCGCGGCGCGTGCTGCACCACCTCGCACTGGGCGTTGGTGCCGCACGCCGTCGGCGACGCGCACGGGTCTGCGCACACGCAACACTCGATAATCATTCATTACATCAAGATTTAATTGATTCAGTTTGGGATAAATTATCTAGTATCAAGCCGCTTTTCTAGTTGCGTATACATTTGTACCAAAGGAGATTTGGAAAAGCCTATATATTTTAAGAACTGTGAGATTTTGTGGATTCAGTTAAAGTATTCTCTTATTATTCTTGTATTTGCTTATAGGCTCTTTCTTTCTATTTTTCGAGCTAATGTAAAATATGGCATAATTGAATTGCAAATAGACACATTCTTCACCACGAGATCTAGATATTGTTTTTTTATTACTGAATTTATTTTATTCCCAATTTGACATCGAACATACGTCAAATTTTAATTGTTATCGTACTTAAAAGCATACTGAATTGTGGAACTTTACATTCATTATTTTCGGGCTATTTCTGATTTATATCTTCTATACACATTCACCATCAACATCCGATATTATTATAATATAAGTCTAGAGGGTTGTGGTAGCCCATTGATGAACAAAGTAAAAGCTTGTTGCTAAATTTAATTAAAACTGAAAAAAATGCTTGTATGTAAGATTATAGGGTTCGAATGCCGACGGTGGCAGATGTTGGACACTAGCTAGAGAGTCAGTGTATCGCTTGTGGGGACACCAAAACAGGGGAGAACCCCACATGGAACGACACAAGATCTTACGTTTCAGCGGAGGAGGTACACCGCCACATCTCAGAAAATAACATGCCCTATACTTCCGGAATTGATGTGCCCAGTGTTTAATGCGCTCGTAAGCCCAAACCGCTGGAAGCCCGTTTGCATGGTTGGTGAGCACGCACCTTGGCACTTGGCGTTGTCGCAGTGTCGGTCGGCGGGGCAGTCGGCGTCGCTGCGGCAGCCCGCGGCGCACACCAGCCCCTGGCACACCTCGCCGCGTCGGCAGTCGTCGTCGCGCCGGCACACGGGCTTGCACACGCCGGCGTCCGCCACGCAGCGCTCGCTGGCCAGGCATCCCGCGGCGCCGGCGCACAGCGGCCGGCACGCGCCCTCGTGGCACGCCTGGCCCGCGCCGCACTCGCGGTTCTCCGAGCACGGCTGCGCCGGCGCGCGCACGCACGCCACCTGCGCACACGCGCACGCACACGCCGTTACGTCTCGGCTTAGAGACAATCCACTCTTCTGATCGCTCTCTATTATGGACCTTTCCATGGCATTGGAGTGAAATATGTTTGTCACCACCCCCATTAGAAACCTCTTAAATCTCAATCCGATTTTATTATTACAGACTAATATTTATAAAAAAATCTGAGGAATTGATGACAGCCTTGCGGCGAGATTCGTCTGTTATAACAGAGATAAATATTAAATGGCTAACATTTGTTGAATAAATCAGAATTTAACATAATCTTTTCATCATTTTAAAAGGGATTTTATACTTGATTTCCAGATAATACTTCCAATCACTGGTAATATTAGTTTTACTTCTTTCCTGTAAACATTTATTTTTAAACTTACGTGCTTTTTAAAAGCGAAGACTTTTAAAGCTTTTATATTTGTCTCCACAAAACAGAATTCTTTGATTAATAACTCGAGATAGTATGTTCGTCTAAACTAGTACTTTTATCAACAACGGTTAAAGTTTTATTTCTGTTTTTGCAGCGCAAGAAATGTTCAGTAACATATTATTGATTTTTAGATAACGCATCAACTTTTTATCTAATAAAATTATTTACTACAAACATGGGTTGGTCCACTCGAGATAACAATGTTGAAGTGTAATTATTTGAGATGTGAGTCCAAAGTTATTAAAATGCAATACCGATTTAATAAAAGAACTCTTCTGAAAATAAAGAATAGAAATGCATACTTCAGCGATTTACATTAAAGCTATTCTGAAATATTAATTGTAGTTGTATGTTTCATTAATTATCATAGTCATTCTAATTGAAATGGGGAAAAACTGATTTTATATTTTTGAAGTCTCTTTCTACGTTTAGTCAGTAATTGGCTAGCGTGGTACTAAAGTAGTCTATGGTACGAATCACAATGTGACTTATGAATCACTTAAGAATTGACTAACATTAAAACCATCTGCCAATACTAAAGTGGTACTTTTATTACGCGGCACTTACGACAAATGACAGGTAGACCACTGTAGAATGTGTAGACTGCACACACATTATCAAATTTATGTTAACCTGGTAAATTCAGACAAAACGTTTCAAGACCACTTTAGTTCCGGGCCATCCAATTGTAACGTAGAGTAGGAGCGAGTGCTCGGAAGTCGTGCAATGTCGCCGGCAGCGCGAGGCGCACCTGCGCGGTGGGGCTGGGCACGAAGCCGTCGCGGCACGAGCAGGAGGCGCGCTGGTTGGAGACGGCGCACAGCGCGTTGGGGCCGCAGGGCGACGCCGCGCACGGGTCGGCGCAGCGGTGCTCCACGCACGCCTCGCTCGCCGTGCAGTCGTCGTTGGTGGTGCAGCCGAAGATGCACATGTTGTTGAGGCAGATGTGGCCCAGGAAGCAGTCGTTGTGCACGCGGCACGTCACTGCAACAGCGGCCGCGCCGCGCCGTTCACCACCCCACCCCCAGCGCGCTCGCCCGCCGGTCGAAGGCGGTGAAAATTTCAAATGGAATTGACGTTACTATGCCGTTTTTTATGAAGTTACGTAAAGCATTGCTTTAAATCCACATTAAACATTTTATATGTCATATAAGAATATTGACGTATACATTTAAATATGCTGAAACTGAATCAAAGATCCTAAAGAATGGTATGTAATAGAGTGTGATTACTATTTTTTGTTTAAAGTTAAATAAGAACAAACGCAAGGAATGTTTACTAATTAAATATTACAAAGTGCTGAGTACTCACGTATGCCACTCCCGTTGAGACATTTGTTTGAAAAGGAATTGAAATACAATGTTATGCTTCCGTGGTTATAAATTTACATATCGCATTGCTTTTTAACTACAGTGAACGTTTTATGTCATATACGAATGTAAGGAGCGGAATAGGCCATAATATATTTAAATTGAAATTTAATCATGAATCCTAAAGATTGGTATAACGTAGAGTAAGAATAATACTTTTTGTTCAGAGCTAAATCAGTTTAATAATTGAATATTCAGAAGTGCTGAGTACTCACGTATGCAATTTCCGTTGAGACATTTCTCATTCATAGCACAGTCGTCATCCACTCGACACGTCGGCAAACACATCTTGTCGTCCACACACGTGTGTCCGGATGCGCAATCGGTGTTTCTCTCGCACGAAACAGGAACTGCACAGACGAAATGATTAGGCCTTCTTCTTTGAGGATACACACTGTCTAAGCTCTGTGACATTCACTCCACCTTTATATGGAGGCTTATTGTTAACTAATTGTTTAGTTGTGGCGGATGGTAGAGAATTGAAGGGACTCACCGCGCACGCACTCCACGTCGGCCTTGCCGGTGAAGCCGGGCGGGCAGGCGCACAGCTTGAGGTGGTTGGCGACGCTGCACAGCGCGTTCATGCCACACGCGCCCTTGCCCGCGCACGGGTTGGCGCACTGGCCGCGCACGCACGCCTCGTCCAGCGCGCACTCTTGGTCCGACGAGCAGAACGCTGCAACCACATACATCTCATATCCTCACTTTGCTCTAGAAACGTCCGAAGTCTCAATTTACTCCGGTTTAAGTTCCGAAAAAATTCTAGTAAAAATCCCAAGTTAAACACCTCCCAAATATGTCAACAGCCTACAGGCATTTACGTGACAATTTGGAATCTTCTAATGTTTGAAGACAATTATACATTGAATTTAGTCAATTCTTTTGACTAATATTTAATAAATAACTCCTATTAATTTAAATATTATTTTATAGGTGAATAAGACATTTTCATTATTACTCGTATTTTCTGATAATAGTTTACGGTAGCATTGAAAGGGGTGACGCGAGCGAGGGACTTACGTCTGCAGGTGCTGGCGTAGCAGTAGGTGTTGGCGGGGCAGTCGGAGGCGGCGGCGCAGGGACGCGGCGCCGGGCGGCAGCCCACCGTCATGTCCCGCGCGTCGCCCTCGTAGCCCGCGCGGCAGCGGCACACACTGGTGCGCGCCTCGGCCACGCAGTCCGCGTTGGGGCCGCACACCGCGCCCTCGCACACGTCTGACACACACACACAACGCGTTTACACACGTGTTCTGGTAGGAAGCCCAGTGAAAGAATAGCCCTTTACATGTTTATCACGAAGAACATTGTGCGTAGAAACTATGAACTTGGACGTAATAATCCAGAAGTCGTTTGTGAAAACCCCGAACTCGATCTTTAAAAAAAAACTGAACTTGTTCATGATAATCTTAAACTCGTTCTTAAACCCTGTGTTCGTTCTTAAAAATCCCAAAGTCGTTCATGAAAACCTGGAACTCGTTCGTAAAAATTCCCTAACTAGTTTAAGAAAACCGCAAAAGTACTTGGGGAAATCCAGAACTAGTTCATTAAAACCCCGAACTCTTTCACAAATAATATTTCTCTCATGAAAACCTGGAACTCGTTTGTGAAAAACCGTAGTTTCTTTCATGAAAACACCAAATATTTTTCGTGAAAATCCATTACTTGTTCATGAAAACCAATATTTATTTTACTAAAACCCCGATCCCTATCAAGAAAACCCCTCTTCTCTTTCTCTACAATTTCGAAATCGTCCATCCAAACCCGTTGGTGAAGACGGGTAGTGTACGAGAGGGCAACTCAATTTCTAAATACCGAACTCGTTCATGAAAACCTCGAACTCGTTCATGATAACCCCGAACTCGTTCATGAAAACCCTGAACTCGTTCACGAAAACATTTCTTTCCTGGAAACCCGATGTCGATGAAGAAACCCGTGGGCACTGACCTTTGCACTTGGGCACGCCGGCGGCGCGCGTGCAGGCGGCCGAGGGCGGGCAGTCGGCGTCGCGCTCGCACTCGACGGGCGCGCGGCAGCCGTCGCGCAGCGGGTCGCCCACGGTGCCCGGCGGGCAGCTGCAGTGGAAGGAGCCTCGCGCGTTGCTGCACGTGGCGCCGGGCGCGCAGGGCGCCGACGCGCAGAAGTCCACGGGCGCGCAGCCGGCGGCCGACGACGGGTCGCCGGAGAAGCCGGGCTGGCAGTAGCACACCTGCGCACGGGCACGTTCTTGTACATCGCGAAAGAGGGGCGTGTGCTCGCGACATCTCATTAAGGGAACGAAGCTTGCCGCTGAAATATCCTCGGGATTACCTGGGCCTCAGTTAACGGAATACCCGAGTATGGGTTATTAGACATAATTTGTTTTGGGTCGATTGTTCGACTTTGCTGGCTATCTAACTGAGTCCCCCTTGGCTAGGCCTAGTTTAATTCCCGGAGACCTTAGGCGAACATCCCGTATTCCTTTCAGCACAACTAGTGAACTGCGACTGTCGGAGCTTTTCTTCGTTACTCAGCTACAGAAACTGAGACGACTTTAAAGGATAGCTACACCTGTATTTTTGCATTGCTAGAAGGTACAAGGAAATGATTAACTGTAAAATTTCAATTTACTATTTTTCGAGCGTTTGCTGTACATTGTCGCGACCTAGATATCTTACAAATAATTAAGAAAATGCAACAAACACCTTTTAAGAAAATTAGATACGTAAGTTCGTTGTTATAGTGATTTTTTAACAATCTTCAAATATTGTTATATTTATCAAATGTTCTTTAATATTACACTGAAAATAAATATTTTCCCTCGTTTTTGACGCTCCATTACCAATTAAACTCCAGATTCGCCTATTTTTTGTGTTCGAGTTGGTCTTGCTGTAAGTTTCGTGGGATAATCGCGAGTGAGCCGAAAGCGAAGCAGCAGCAGCGTACCTGTCGATGGTTCTCGGCGGCGCAGACGGCGTTCGGTCCGCAGGGGTTGTGCGCGACGCAGGCGATCTTGCAGGCGAAGTTGTCGCAGAGCTGTTCGGGCGGGCAGTCGGGGTCAGCACGGCACTCGACGGGGCGGCAGCCCTGCGCGCCCAGCGGGTCGCCGTGGTGGCCCTCCGCGCACGCGCAGTGCGGCGCGTGGCCGCGCGCCGTGCAGTGGGCGTTGCGGCCGCACGCGGCGTCGCCGCACGCGTGCACGCACTCGGCCTGGCCCAGCGCGCTGGTGGCGCAGCGCTCGCCGTCGGCGCAGTCGTCGTCGGCGCGGCAGCGCGCCTCCTGCACGCACAGCCCGTTGTGGCAGAACTGGCGCTCGGGGCAGCTGGCGTTGCTCTTGCACGTGGGCTGGCACACGCTCTGGATGCACAGCTGGTCGGGCAGGCACTCGCGGGTGCTGGCGCACGCCGCTGCAACACACACACACGCACATCGCTCGCACCGCCGCCCTCAACGCACTCTTAGCGCTTTTAGAGACGTCGACATTAAGATGAAGCCCTATATTAATTTATCAAAAATCACAAAATCTACATGTAACGAAAACATAGGAAATAAGATCAATTTATTGAGATCCTGAATCCTTCTGTTTAATTATTTTGCAGCTTTCATGGTATAAAGGGTAGGGTCTCGAGCTGTTATTTTCAAACCGAATAGAACAAGTGGATTTGTGAGGGCGAAAAAATCCTTCGTGTGCCTTCCTTTGGATGAAAAGTAAATAGACTGCCTCTTGTTATGGGTTTACTTCATGTAAAAGGTCATGAAGCCTAAAAGGACCTCTGAACTAAATTTAAATCACTCGAGTGATACTTTCTCTACTACATTTGGGAAAGACGTGTAGTAAGATGTGCGAGGCCAGTCGGAAGAACAGGCCCAAAGCTCGTTGCATAAAATAAGGTATCATTGAATTGAATTGAATTGATAGTTGAATTACGAAGTAAGTACCTACGATCATTCTAATATTTTTTATTATCGCAAAAATATGGTCTCCTGAGCAATAGAAAATATTTGCAATGAGCTGCAGTTCAAGAGCTACCCCAATGTGTGATGTCTTTCTTAGAGAGAGAGGTGAAGACTAACATTTGCATATTCCGTTGTTGCAGACGGTGCCGGCGGGGCACTGGCCGTCGCCGCCGCAGTACTGCAGCGGCACGCAGCCCAGGTGCGGGTCGCCCGTGGCGCCGGGCTCGCAGGCGCACACGGCGCCGTGGTTGGCGGGCGTGCACGAGGCCCGGCGGCCGCACACGTTGGGCAGCGAGCACGGGTCCACGCAGCGCGCGTCCACGCACGCCAGCGCGTCGGCGCAGTCGCTGCTGTCGGCGCACTCCAGGCGCACGCACTCCACCTGCGCACGCGCACGCGGTGAGTGGGGAGAGGGAACAGACAATAAACCACTCAACTGAAAAGTTAATGCTTTCTTCTACCTTCTAATTATTGACAATGATCACGTAAAGTAATTTTAATGCATTTTTGAATGAGCGTTAACACTTCATTCATGTTTCAAACACGCCATTTCTTTGTGAGAGCATATTAAACAATAAGAATGTGTGTGAGGGATCTCGCTTTAAAACGTCTGAAAACCTCTGCCTAAAGAAAGTCTTAATAATCCACTTCTCAGATATTATTGCTATCTGTATGATTTATTACTTCATTACTTAAACTGAACATCGACTCGTCACAAAAATGAATTCATTAAACTTTTCTATATGTTGTATGTTTAATTAACAAGTATTAATGTTGACGTACGTTGTTTTTTGAAACGTGAAAAGCTTAAATTTCGATTGTAAATTTACTTGCTAAAACTATTCTAAACTGTTGATAAGTGTACTATGTTCCCCCGCCTTTACAGCAGTCCGTAGTACTTAAAGGGTCCGTAGTTCTTAAAGCATTAGAAATGTAGTGGTGAAATAATTACAGCTGCATGGCGGTAAAGTCTTATATATAATGAATAGAATTGAAAGATAGGTGAGTAATATTTAGTTTACGAAACGTAAAGAATAATAGCTGTAAAAATATTTGTTTTCTGGGAGGGATGTTTTCTTTTAAACTTACTCTACGAGACTTTCGTGTTGAGCTGTGATTCCTGTTTCGCACGTAAGTCTCAAGGTAGGCCCAAATATGCTATGAAAGCGTTGGCAGAGATTTAATAAACCGTGTCTCAAGCAGAGTGATGTCTTAAGGGATTAAGGAAGGTACTTAAGCCCTTAACAGATCTGGTAGGCTTGAATAACGGAGTGGATACACTCTCTAGCGTTAACAACTTGAAAGAAGTGGAAGCATGGCCAAAAGTCGTGCATAAAAAAATGCTGAAAACATTAGAAATTCAATTTTGAAATAATTATTGCTCCATGGCGCAAAACTCTGATATACAATGAATATAATTGGTTATATTATTAAGTTAATGAAACTTAGAAAGTAATAAATTGTAAAAATATTTCTTTTCTGGGAGGGATGACTAGTGCTGGAAATTATTCTATCGTGCATCACAGCGCAACCCGAGTTTTTGTTGTTGTGCTGTGATGCCTCTTGTGCACGACTGTCTTGGGGGCGAGGGAACCGTCGGCAGTGGTTGAGTAGGGAGTTGAGCCAGGGACTCACGTGCGGGTCGCCGCGCGTCTGCGGCGGGCAGCGGCAGGTGGGCGTGTGCGCGCGCGGGGCGCACTCGGCGCCGCGGCCGCACGCGCCCGGCAGCTCGCAGGGGTTGCGGCAGCGGTTGTCCTCGCACGCCGCGGCGGCCGGGCAGTCGGCGTCGGTGAAGCAGTCGCCCGGCGGCCGGCAGCCCGCGCGCACGGGCTCGCCCACCAGCCCGTCGGGGCAGGCGCACGCGAAGCTGCCCGGCGTGTTCTTGCACCTGCGCGCGCAGTTCCCAGGTCACGAATCCGAAACCCAACATTCCCCGTTGAAGAGCAGGCTTGCTCTTTTTTAACCTAACACTTCAAGATATCTTTCAAAAATGTCTCTAAGCGGTGCTGCCTTCCCGTACTCCCAATACTGAAATACTTGTTTCATCTGCCCCTGACTCAAACTTATCTTCAAGGACACAGTATTTCGAGAAGGCAAACTCTAAGCATGCTTGAAATTGTTTTTTGATCAATTATTATATGAACTGAGTACTTCGTCCAAACAACTACTTTCACGCTAAGTATTAAATAAATTCTTGCAGAGTTTCTTAAACTTTTTACTAAGAGTTTGGTAACGCTTTTTTGGCTTTTAAAAACAAAGGTGATTTTTTCGTACCGAAAATGCTGATTCAACATTTAATACTTGTGACGTCATTACGACACTGATTTTATTAATCCATCATTTTGTCATGAAGAACACAAATCATTACAAAAGGAATTTATAAGTTGTCTTAAATATTGAAGCAATATGCTTCTCATATGAAAAATTTAATAATTTGAAATATGAAAAATTTAATAATATGAAAAATTAATTTAAAATTTAACCCAGATAATTTTTTAATAACAATATTAGACTAAAGGTAATTCTAATTTGCTGAGAGAATCCGCTGATATGCAAATTCGATGACCTACTGAATGACCAGCGCCACGGTATTTGTAACTGTGGCGCGTCGACAAGTAAGGCAAGCGGGGAGTACTCACAGGGCGGTGGCGTGGCAGGGGCTGTGCTGGCACTCGTCCACGTCGGCGCAGGTGCCGCCCACCAGCGCGTAGCCGGGGAAGCACACGCACTCGCCGCGGTGCGCCTGCGCGCGGCACGCGCCGCGCCCGCACGCCACCTGGTCGCAGGGGCCTGCAACAGCGCACGCCGCGCTCGCATGCCACTCGCTCTCGCTCTCGCTCGCCGCGCGTCGCCTCTCCACACGACAGTGCAGCGCCGAAATAGGCTAAATTGTACTAGAATATGACACAGTTCAGTCAGATCGGCGAAGAAATGTGAACGAACATGAATCAGAGATATGTTTTTATGTTGGCAGTTTCATCAGAGCCATACTAGTTTGTTCTTTATAATTGAAAAATAAATTTATTAATATTTTAAATAATACATTAGATGCTTAATGGTTTGTTAAAAATTGAGATAAATTAATTCTGGAAAAGTTATGTTTGCCTATCCTTAATAATTTTCTGCAAAACTGAAAAAGTAGTGAGTTAAATATTATTCTTGTTTGCGTGAATTACAACATCTGCTTGTGCATTGTTCTTTCCCAATAACAATTAGATAATTTGACGTATTCTGCGTGGTATTTGTAATTCGAGTGTTGAATGGGCGTGCTGCTAGGCGTGGGGTACTCACTGGTGCACTTGTTGCTGAGGGGGTCGCAGAGCTTGTCCTGCGCGCAGTCGTCGTCCGCCGTGCACTCCACCTTGAAGCAGCCCACCGTGGGGTCGTTGGGGTCGCCCAGGAAGCCGGCGGGGCACGTGCACACGGGCCGGTGGTCGAAGACGTTGCAGACGGCGGCGGGGCCGCAGGCGGGGGCGGGGCCGGCGGTGGAGCAGGGGTCGGCGCAGCGCCCTCCGTGGCACGCCTGCCAACCACACACGCGCGCACACGCGGCACTCAGCGACGGACGATACTCCGTATCGAAACACAGTTTCAAAAAGCAATAAATCTTAAATATTTTCACATTTTTTGCCTATAACACTTAATGTTTTGAATTATTTAACGCTTTAGCTGACGACCATAAATACAACTTGTAGATACAATTGTAACAAGCACATGTAGATACAACTTGTAAATACAATTTGTAGTTTACTCTTACACTTTTATTGCTATTGTTTAATAACGATTTTATTACATTTTTGGACATTATTGCACCTGCGGTTGTTTGCAAGGAATAAAAAAATATCTTAAAAGTTTACTTCTTTTCCTACAAGGACTACTTAAAGGGGTGCTAATTTTTTGAAGATGAAAGTACTGCTACCAAATATAGAAAAAACAATCTAGGAGAAAAGGGAGAGTATAGTACACATATTCAATTCTGATGTCTGGAGAATTACTTTTGTAAATATAAAGATGAATAAACAGACTACGCGAAATGTAATCGTCGTCATTCTTGGAAAGCAGGAAACTTTGTTTATAGAATTTCGTCTCAAAGTTTTACAAAAGACGTGAATAAAATTATTCAAACTAGTTATACCCAGTAATATGATTCGTTGGGTGTTTAGAAGTATTTAAATTACGAAAACCAATAAACCGTTTTTTGATGTCATACAGCACAAATTTATGTATTGAACCCAGAAATGTTCTATCATCTTTAATCTGCGAACATGAGAAAGAAGGAAAGAGCAAACTTGCAGTGCAGTTTTGTGTTCGTACTACATACTGTTGACAAGGAATACATACACCGAAAGAGAATTTTTCAAAATCCTGGTCTCCTTATGCTGCTGAATACAATGCCGAATCTAATATTAATATCCTTTGCATGCAACCGCTTAGAGATTTGCCTGCCAGCATAGCTTCTACTGTGTGTAGTGTAAAGAGCATTATTTGAATAATTGAAAAGCGTTGGGGGGGAGCACTGACCTGCGCCTCCGCGCAGTCGCTGTCGCGGGCGCACTGCGCGGGCGAGCGGCAGCCGGGCTCCAGGAAGGCGTCGCCCACCGTGCCCTCGGGGCACGCGCAGCGGTACGACCCGGGCGAGTTGAGGCACAGCGCCGTGGGGTGGCACGGCTGCTCCAGGCACTCGTCGATGTCCCGGCAGCCCGACGGCGACGACGCGAAGCCGCTGCCGCACCTGCGCACGCGCACGCCCCGTCACGTCCCCGTCACGTCCCCGCTCGCGGGGCTTGCTTCTTTTCACAGAGCTCTAAGCTTAATCGTCTAGGAGATGGTTTTGTTGTCTGAATGAAAGTGATGTAGCATTGGCCGTTTGTTTTTAATACATTTAGGTCGTATTTCAAAATACACTTAGGAAGAGAAATGACTCTCAAACAAGTATGTTAAAACAATCCATTTGAGTAAAAAGGGGCATCTTAAACTACCTCTAGAGTGATGGAACTAAAGGTATCTAACATACATTTCTGTAATATATCGTGTATGACATATGTTAGAAAAAGGCCAGTTGCACATGATTTGAAGCTTTACGCGCTGTCAAACGGAAAGAAAAAAGGCATCTCTGCCCGGGGACGATGCTCTAAGAAGAAGGAGGAAGACGAGGGGAGGAAAAGTCGGCCACTCACTTGCACTTGTTGCGCACGCAGACCTCGCTGGGGCGGCAGTCGGCGTCGGCGGCGCAGCCGGCGCGGCACGCGCCGTCCACGCACAGCTCGCCCGCCAGGCAGTTGCCGTCGTCGTGGCACAGCTTGACGCAGACGCCCGCCGGGTGCGCGCAGCGCTCGCCGTGCGCGCAGTCCTCGTGCGCCGCGCACGGCAGCGCGCACTGGCCGGCCTCGCAGCGGTGGCCCGACAGGCACTGCGCCGCGCTGGCGCAGGCCGTGGGCGCGCGCACGCAGCCCTGCTGCGGCGCCGGGTTGCCCACGAAGCCCTCGGGGCAGCGGCACTCGGTGGCGTGGTTGACGCAGCGGCAGATGGCGTTGGGGCCGCACGCGCCGTCGCTCTGGCACGGGTCTGCGCACGGGACATTCACTCGCGACGCCCTTCCTACCGTCTACTGACCGATAGCTAAGTCTCTGACGCAGCACCAAATCGAAATTCACAACGCCTGCGCGCAAGGCGTATAGGCATCCCGTCATACGATGCTACACGACGGGATGCATAGAGCGTGCAAAACTAATGGAGGCATGTTTATGTGAAATGATAAAAATGTAGTTAGGAATGCTCTGATGTAACATTTTATGTTCATATTTACAATATCATATCACAGCAACTGATATGCCTGGAAAGATTTCAGGTCGTACGAGACAAAATAAATTTTAAAAAAATACTGCAGGACGAAATTAAAAAATCCTTACATTTGAACCTATCTCCCCCAACATACAATTATTTTCTGCATTAATATTAGTCTAAGGTTAATATTCTTTGATAAGTAACTAATAAGAATGAAACTAAAAAATCTCATTTCATGCTTTATAAACAATGACATAATCTCTGACGGAAAGTAAAGATAACTGTGTAAAACTCTCTACTCAATAGATTGTCATCCCTTCTACATTAAATAAAGTTTCTGTAAATAACATAACCTGTTTGAAACACTAGTTTTGATATGATGTGAGAGTTCTTACTAGAAATTTGAAAACACTAGAATCTGGATTTTATAAAGAGTGTGAACTGCAGTGAAATATCGCGACTTGAGAGCAAGGAGGGGCACGCACCTTTGCACTTGTTGTTAACGCAGGCCTGGTCGGAGGGGCAGTCGCGGCTGGAGCGACATCCCAGGAGACAGACGCCGCCCATGCAGGCCTGGCCTCGCAGGCACTGCGCGTGGCTAGCGCACGGCACATGGCACAGGTTGTGGGCGCAGCGCTCTCCCACAGAGCAGTCGTCGGCATTTCGGCACGCCACTGCACACACACGCGAGCGCACGCCTCAGTAATCGCCCGCAACGGCACATTGCAGACGCAAGGCGACGGGTTTACCGACTCCTAAGATTAAGCAGCTTCCGCACGGTAGTGATGGCGGTAGTGATGCAGTGTGACGAACAGTAATGTGAAGTTGTGGGAAACGCCCATTTTGTTGCAAATAATTATACATTTTGATACAAGAATTAACTGTTTTGACCGCGATGGCTCCTGTCTAGACCGCAACAGCTCAATGTATACTCGGATCCCACACCTCACGATTTACTACACAAGCATCCAATTCTGCAGTACTAGTGTCGAGTATAACAAGAGAGTGGGGCAGTTGTTTTTCAGCAGGGAATTGTATAACGCAGATAGTAAACACTTAATCTCTGTATTCGATATAGACAATCGAGTAAACGTGTGAACCTGATTGGAAAAAGCGAATTAATGAGTTGCGGTCTTAATAATCTAAAAATAGTTAATTTTACAATAATGCCAGAACAGTTCTTGTTGGCGTATGAGGGACAAGTATAATCCTCGCACTCTTCTTCAACTTCAGAATCCTCTCTCGACTTTTTTAAGACACGAAATTGAGAGATGAACAAAGCTACCGAGAAGCGTGTTTGGCCTATATATATATATATATATATATATATATATATATAATATATATATATATATATATATATATATTTATATATATGTATGTGAAAGCTATAACTGTTCGTTCCCGAGCAGTATAAAACGCATTTGCATGAGTAAAAGAAGTTTTCGATTTGAGTGCGAGTGCGGCCAGCGTACTTTGCACTGTCCGTTGTGGCAGACGTCGCCCTTGCAGTCGGCGTCGTTGGCGCAGGCGGCGGGCGCAGCGCCACGCAGCCGGCGGTGGCGGTGGCCGTGGCGGAGGGCCCGCCGGGCGCCGCCTCGAAGCGCGGAGGGCACGAGCACACGGGCCGGCGCGCGCTCACGGTGCAGAGCGCGTTGGGCCCGCACGCGCCGGCGCACGGGTCCACGCAGCGCCCGGCCTGGCACACGGCGTGCGCGGGGCAGTCGGCGTCGCCGCCCGGGCAGCGGCCCTCGGGCCGGCACCCGCTCGTCGACGGGTCGCCCACGTGCCCTAAACACACACACTCACTCACTCACACACTATCCTGGCACGCGCCTGTTGCATCCTTCATCGAACTTGGTACATCAGAGGAAAAATAACTAAAAAGTATAAAAGCCCATTATATCTGAAGTGATTTAAGAAGCAAACCCTCAAAGATGTACATTTCGCAAGAATTTAGTTCTTTTGTTGTTTCACCTAGAATTTCATGTTCCGAAAAAATGTTAGAGGTCTTACAATTCATTAAGTAGTACTCTTTTCGTTGAATTAAAGACAGCGTTGAAGAGTGTAAAATTTGTGTTATATTTTCCTTTTGGGAGGGGGGGGAAGAGTGAAATGGACATGTCATGTGCTGGATGTTTGCACCTCATTTTTACTGTGTTCGGAAGTCTCAAGAAGTACTGATCAACTTGCTGATCAGAGACTAGAGATGTGCTGATTGAAGTGCAATACGTGCGTTGAAGGAAGTGCGCACCTGGCGGGCAGCGGCAGAGATGTCCGTTGAGGGCGCCCTCGCAGATGGCGCTGGGGTGGCAGGGGTTGGGCGAGCACGCGTCGGTGGGCACGCACTCCACGTCGGGCAGCGGGTTGGGCTTGAAGCCCGCCGGGCACTGGCACACGGCGCGGTGGTCCTCGGCCAGGCACACGGCGTTCTCTCCGCACGAGTCCTCGTCGCAGGCGTCGTGGCACGTGTGCGTCAGCCGGTTGCACAGCTGCGTGGGCGGGCAGTCGATGTTGTACACGCACGGCACCTGCGAACACACACACCACACACGCTGCTTTCAGCTCACGCCCCAGGAGATCCTCTTTGACAGAATGTTTCTCAAAGCTTCTTACAAAGACACGGAAAACATACATTCAATTCGTCACTTATAACTTTGATCTTCTTATTATTCTTGGTCTATTCTTCTGATGCAATTGATACTAAGATCATTTAACTAAGAATGTTATATAAACTTACCTTGGGGCGTATTTAAAAATCTATTTTTTTTCATTTTGATTCTTTATCCCCTTTTGTGATATGGCTCACTTGAAGCGTTGTGAATGTATGTGGGTGTTGACTATTCTCTTAGTTGAACTAACGGAATATTACAGGGAATTGATTGACTTACATTATTATAATTCATATTTGGTACATTCTTTAACTCTATTGCGGTAGTTACTTTCGTCTTATTAAATAACACTCGTGCATTGTCAAAAGTCTAGAAAATTTCCTTGCATATATGCAAGGTTGCAATGCACTCCTGAGCAGTATAACAACCGTTTCTTTTAGAACGGAATACAGCAGGCGATGGACGTGGCTGAGTGCTCACCTCTCGGCAGCCGGCGTTGGGGTCGTTGGGGTCTCCGGCGTAGGGCCCGGGGGGGCACTGGCAGCGCGCCTCGTGGTTGTTGGCCACGCACACCGCGTGCGGGCCGCACACCACGTTCTCGCAGGCGGGCCGGCACGCGCGCGGGCCGCCGTCGGCGGGGCGGCACGCGTGCGACTCCGGGCACTGCAACACAACGCAACACAGCGTCAGCGATCTGCTCGACGGAACTTTCGTAAACGCCTTTACGGACAAGGTTAAGGAAGCAATGGTTTTAACTTTTAACAACTCTTTGTAACAAAACTTTAGATACCGAGTTCTTGTGTTTGTAGATATACTTATCGTACTTAATTTATTGTTGAACTTTCGTTACATGAAGATCTGATCGAGTGTATCTGCATACAGGTTACGTTGTAAACTAAATAAACTTGAGGAATATCTACGTTACGGAGCGTTTTCTTTAGGAAGAGATTTTTATGGAGAATTTATGCTGCTTTAATTTTTAAATATTGTATCTTTCACTCTACACGGAAAATTCATTCCCGCAAGAATTTATAGTAAATACCTTTATTAAATGTTTACTCTTTAAATATTTGTGATTTCTTTTCTACCGAAGCAAAAGTATTCGAGCTAGTACAACGTGCAAGACACTTCTAAAATCTTAGAACATCATCATGCGCAGAACCAATTTTTGGCACGTCACAAAGCTTAATTATAGTTCTCATTATTTTAACCAGAGTATCAAGCCTACGAGTACCGGTCAGATGTCCCGAGCGCAGCGCTGTGTGGGAGGGGAGAGGCGGGGCGGGGTCTCACCTGCGCGTCCGAGTTGCACTGGTCGCGCGCGGCGGGGCGGCAGCCGCGCCGGTCGTTGGGGTTGCCGGTGAAGCCGGGCAGGCACTGGCACTGGCCGCGGTGCTCCAGCGCCGCGCACAGCGAGTTGGCGGGGCACGTGAACTCGGCGCACACGGGCGTGCACTTGAGCACGCCGAGCGCGTCGGGGCGGCACGCGGCCACGGCCGGGCAGTCGGCGTCGGCGCCGCAGTCGGGCAGCGTGGGCTTCTCGCACGCCGACGCCACGGGGTTCCAGGCGAAGCCGTCGCGGCAGCCGCACAGCGGCAGCCCCGACGCGTCCAGGTGGCACTGCTCGTTGGCGGCGCACGCCACCGTCAGGCACGGGTCCACGCACGCGTGCGTGCCTGCCGAGCACAGTTAACAGCGCCTTCAAGTCGAGCAGCAAGAACACATTCTGGCAGTCTGGCTGCATTGGAGCCAAATCGATTTGAAAATGATGGAAATCTCCATTCTTTATTCCAATTAATGAGCTATATACCAAACTATCCAATAAAGTTGTAAACAATATTTGTATGCAATTATCCAAGTAAATATTATGATATAAATATTTTCTGAGGGGAGATATTTTGATGAACTATTTCCAACTTTATAGCTTTTTTCTGAAAGTGTTTAGTCCTGTTTTTCACAGACAACAAAACTGAAGTTAAAACAATAAAAGTGGAGTCGTAAACAAAAAAAGCTTAAACTGCTGTCCTGTAAAATCAATGGTCATTCCTCTTCCCCGGAGGAACAGAAATATTCAGTGAGGAGACCAGAGCACGATTCGTATAAGAATTTTTGGCTAATTTTGAGTTAGGAGTAGGAGTGTGAAGTAAAATCTCCATTATATTTCGTGAACTATTGGTATTCTAATAGCTCAAACAGTTGTGTTGTAGCGATGGAAAGAAAATGCTGGCATGTTTCCATGGCGTTTTATATAGTCACTAAACTAGTTTTTTGTTTGTGTAAATGTGAACTAGATTTTCTCAAATCAAGTTCACAAATATCAAATACTATAGAGAATACAGGGCACTATATAACGGGAGACGCTTGAAGCTTGCCCCGATCCTAGTGACCCGACCTGTCATAACCATTGTGATATCAAATACGAAGTGCATAAGTTTGAAACATTCATAGTTTACAATCGATTATGTTTACTTACATTTAGCAGAGCGATTCAAAAGTTAGTTTATGCATTGAAATTTGAATTTGCCGCTGATTTTTAGGTCTCGTCTCTAGTGAGCAATGGTCTCCCATTGAATGTTCAAAGTGCCCTGAAAGCGTAGGCTTGCGCGGCCGGAGTCAGTATTGACTTGGCTGTCCGGGTGATTGGCGAAGGTGCCGACGTTTCGGTCCCCATTCTGCGACCTTCCTAGGAAGGCACCTCACCATAGACGCGGCGTCATCCGGACAGCCAAGTAAATCAAAGAGTCCTGTATTGTCGCTATCCCTTGTGCTGTAAGTCGTGTGTGGGAGGCGACTCACCGTCTTGGTGGACGGCGCAGACGGTGCCGGGCGGGCAGATGCCTCCGGCGCCGCAGCCGCCCTTGAGCCCCGAGGGCCGGCAGCCGGCCGCCAGGTCGCCCGGGTCGCCGCTGAAGCCGTCGGCGCAGATGCAGGACGGGCGGTGGGCGTCGGCCACGCACAGCGCGTTGGGGCCGCACTGCAGCTTGCTGCACGCGTCCACGCACTTGCGCGTGCCCTTGCCCAGCTGCAACGCACGCGACAAGAACAACATATTCAGTCAGGATGGGTTGTTGTAATATTTACTCAATGTAATTTACGCCAATTTGCTCTGGAAGTGAATTAATGTCGGCACTCAGTCATGCACTTTTCCAAAGAATCAATTAACCAACGACTTGTAAATTCACACAGTAGTGCTCTCTTTTATTTCGTATACTATAATATTAGTACACATATGTGTCGGCCAATCAACTTAACGAGCTCAACCACTACATTTCATATTCCTTACAGATGATCTAGATCTTACAGATAACGCAAGTCGTTAGCAATGAAAACTACAGATGCGTAATTGCATTACTGAAAATGGTAACAAGAGTTGTAATGTGAATAGCGAAATGTTTTCAGATCAAAAATGCGATCCTTACTCTTTTCTTTAGTTGTATAGTAAAATAGCTTTTTTGGCGCAAATCCTGACAAGTTCTATAAGTTAACAAACTTCTCCAAGCCGTATCAGCTGTTGGGATTGAGCTAATAAATTGCTTTATTCGTCACAGCTTTATAGCTATTTACTCTTAAGACAGGGTAAGTTTAATCGTACATTCGGTACTCCGGATGTCCGCCATGAAGAGAGATTTTCATAATAACTAATATTTAATGTTGGATCATTCTCAGTTCAGTACAATTTTTTTCATATATTTATTGTGGCCTACAACACCTGTATTCTTCCAATCGTGCCCTAACTATATTACTCATGGCACACTATACGTAACTTTAAAAACATCTTACTTTTAAAAATTGCTGAAAAAAATATTTTCGAAGGCTTCAAAAGGGAGGCATTTTCGTCGGGAAGTAATTTAATGAAGGGAGACGGTAGGGGGTTACATGCTTTCCTATATTTAGGCCGGACTAGAAATTGTCGGCGAGCAGAAGGGTGAATGTGTGTCGCACCTGGAAGCAGATCTGGTCGTGTCGGCAGTCGAGGTCGTTGCGGCAGTGGCCGTGCGGCGCGCAGCCGGCGGCGCCGGGGGCGGGGTCGCCGCTGTAGCCCGGGGGGCAGACGCAGCGGCCGGCGTCGCAGGTGGCTTTGGGGCCGCACTTGACGCCGCGACAAAGGTCTTTGCAGCGGCCGCCGTCGCACGCGTACCTGCGCACAAGCACGCACGCACACGCTCGCGCAACCTCCTCGCAGTCGCTGCGAGCGCTCGTGGGGAAAATGGCTTTTGAGGAACATCGACAGGTTGCTTTGTAACTGCTTCCATTTTTCGACTGATATCTTTTCAAGAAGAGTCTACTAAGGAATATTTTTGCTTCTTTAAGAATTATTTATTTTATTCGCGCGTGTCATCTCAGAATTATCAGGACATTTGTTAAAACGTTGCAGGGTACAAAGAGCAAAATGCCTGACTATGGAACAAGATGATATGGAAACGAAATAGTATGACTATGAACATATTTTTTCATCTCTGAACTGATTGCAACGAGTGTCGACGCACAGTTGATACGTTTAACTTTCTTGAAATATATTATTATATTATTGTTATATGGGATTGTAGTTATTGTTAAGGATAATAGACAACTTAGCCATTAAATTGTGAAGATGGAAAGTGTGAGTGAACTGTGGGAACAAAATACTGTTGGGAGAATTAATAATGCATTATTACAATTAATTGCAACAATTGCACAATTCCTTATCAGGAAATGATTACTTTAATTAATAGTTAGGGAGGCCATTGGCTAAGAAATAATAAAGTAATAAAGGATGTACCCGGATGGGCAGGGCACGTCGGGTCCGCAGCGGCAGGAGGCCGGGTCGGTGCAGGCGCTGGGGCCCACGGGCAGGCACAGCGCGAACGGGTTGCCGGCCTTGCCCTCGACGCAGCGGCAGTCGTAGCCGCCGGGCGTGTTGATGCAGGCGGCGCCCTCGCCGCACGCCGCGCCCGACGCGCACTCGTCCACGTCGTCGCAGCGCACGTAGGGGTTGCCGGCGAAGCCCGGCGGGCACGCGCACTCCACGCCGCGCGCGCCCTCCACGCACCGCGCGCCCGCGCCGCACGCCGTGGTGGCGCACGTGGCCGTGCCCACCGGCGCGCACCGCTCGTACGGGTTGCCCGCCGTGCCGATGTCGCACACGCACCGGTTCGTCACGCCGTACTCGCAGTGCGCGTGCGTGCCGCAGGCGGGGGAGCAGGCCGGGGCGGAGACAGCTGCGCACCACAGGGCGTCTTAGTCAATCTCTACTCACCCGATCGGCTCGGAGTTACTACGTAAGAAGCAAGCACACTCCCCTTCTCTGGATCCCGATCTCCGTCCCCTTACAGGAGTGAGGAGTCAAAAATATCTAACTCAAACCTATGGAAAGCCACCCTGTTCGGAGAAAGGGTCAGGCGAACACGAACTAGACCAATTGCACCGCAAATTCTCTGGATATTTTTTAATCTTTCCTTTTGCACACAGATAATATCAAACTTAACTCTATAGCAGTGTTCCTTGAATTGAACATTGTTGAGCTGCAACTTCTAATATTTTCAGAAGCGTCATGCTCATCTGAAATGTATATTTGGCGTTTAATGCTGTGAATGCTTTGCAAATTATCAATAAATTGACCAGCTACAAAGCTCCGAGTTTATTTATCTGGAAATTTCGAAAAAACGACTAGCATCTGTTAAGACTAGTGCTCTATTTGAAATAATGGGTTTTTGAAAAATATTGCTTCATATCAGCCACACTCCTAATGCAGTATAATTGATCATTTAGAGCAAATCAGGCACAAATTTAAGGTTTTCTTACAAGAAACAAACTATTCCAAATTCTATAGTTTTCAGGGGGCTCCAAAAACTTCACAGCGTAGACGTACATTGTAATAATGTATGAGTTTCCGCGCCTTATATATTTTCAATATGTTTGGGATTTGCCGAAAGCAATTGTCCCGGTAGATAGCGCCAGTAATAGGGAATAGCTTGGTAAAATATCTCAAAATATGGATTTTTGGATTAGTTTGATTTTTGTAAGAAATTGCATCTTCTTGGATGGAAATTGTTGTGGAGTGCATTAGTTGAAAGACTCACGTGGCATGCAGACGAGGTCCGGGTTGCCGACGAAGAAGGGGTCGCAAACGCACTTGTTGGTCTGTCGGTCGCAGGAGGCGCCCACGCCGCACACGACGCCCTCGCAGCGCTCCTTGCAGCGGCCGCCCACGCAGACGCTGGGCTCTGCGCAGGGGCTGGACGGCGAGCACACGTCGGGCACGCACAGGCCGCCCGGGAACGGGTTGCCCGCGAAGCCCTCCACGCACTTGCAGGTGGGGCCTTGCGACGTGGGGATGCACTGCGCGCCGCCGCCGCACACCACGCCCTCGCACACTGCGCACACCAACCACGCGCCCCGCTCAACCTCGCGTTCCGTGCGATCAACTCACCGTTCGGCGGAGGAAAGCAGTTGAATCAAATCGGTTAAAAGGAAATTGCGTATTGGCCCGGTTCTCTAATAAAACTTATACAGGTATTTTCTACCTGTTTACAACAGACAGCTTCCTCCTCAACTGATGGAGATGTCACCTTTTCTAAATAGTACTTACATTTCTGTTCTCGTGCATTGAATATTGAAATATTGTTGTGAATATGCAATTGTAGTGAAATATCTATAAGGAATATCTCTATAGATATCTATCCATATCACAAATATCTATAAGATATCTATTGTAATGTATTTTAAGGAATACATTATAGATGTTTGCTTAATTGAAATAACTTAAATTAAAGTTCTTCTGTTTTTGAGTTAAAAAAAGTATGAGGAACGTAGTTCATACATCTTTTAAGAACAAACATATAAAGGCATTCCTACGTGAGCATATAATGCGGCCTTAAAGCAGCGAATTGTGTATTGTGCAAAGCGATAGGGTTTCATGTATAGCTGTGTATTGGGCAATGGCTTACTTGAGACGCAGTTGCCGGTGGGTCCCTTGACGAAGCCGACGGCGCAGCGGCACCACGCCGCGTGCTTCTCGGGCTCGCAGTAGGCGTTGGGGCCGCAGGTGAGGCCGGCGGCGCAGGGGTTGACGCAGCGGCCTCCCACGCAGGCCAGCGGGTCGGCGCAGTGCGCGTCGGCGGCGCACTCGCTCTTGGGCGCGCCGTCGTCGGGCCGCACGCAGCCGCCGCGGTAGGGGTCTCCGGTCATGCCCCGCGCGCACGCGCACGAGTAGCCGCCCGGGGCGTTGAGGCAGTGGGCGCCGTACGCGCACGGGCTGCTCTGGCACTCGTCCAGGTCGGTGCAGCCGCGCAGCGGGTCGCCCTCGAAGCCCACCTCGCACATGCAGCGCGGCGGGTCGCTGGGCGTGCACTTGGCGTTGATGCCGCACGGGAAGCGCTCGCAGGGGCCTGCGCACGGCAACACGCGGCGTTCAGCCACGCCACTACTACGCGACGTCCCCAAATAACCTCCCCAATGAAACGAAATTCCACGACTTTGAAACGAAAAATATTCTCCAAATTATGGTCAAACGACATGAGCTGTGCCTATTGCCTTTCCCCTTAAATTCATATAACTCAATTCGTTTGAGCTGCTCGAAACCCTATATTATTTACATTTTTATGTTGTTTTTCTTTCTCTAAGCCTGTCGTTTATTTTTCTCTTTTTGATACACAAAACTGCATGAGAATAATGGTGATGTTTCTTTTTTATTCATAATAATTGAGAGAATAATATTTCTCGACACTGTATGAAAATTTCTCCAAAATTCCCCAAACATTTGCCGGTGCATTTTTGTTCCCTATCTTTCCCCGTAACAAAAAAAATCCTCATTTTCGGGACAAAATTCCTCAATCTGGCAACACTGACCGGTCAGCACCGCCCAACATGCGTTGGGCGGCGGAGGGGGACAGTGGAAATAATCTTCCGCGTTCAACAACACTGCAGTTTTCATTTCAAAACCACGCTAAACTTGTTTTAGGGATTTGTTTCAATAAACTAGACAACAATGAAGCAATAGAAGTAGCAAACGGATGCCACCAGATAGCCCGACAATGCATCTGCGCCGCGAGCAAGACAACAATGAGAGCGCGCGCGACTTGCAACAATACTTATTTGAGCGCTAATAAGTTCAAAGGATACAACAGAATATTAAACAATACATTATTATAATTACGTACTTTAAAAGTCGTATACCACTAAAAATGGCAAAATATTCCCTGAAACATGGTTAGTGGGTTTTATAAATAAATATAAATAATAGTATGCATCGTATTTTTTGTTTTGGTGTATAATTTCTACTTCCCATTTACTTTATTACTGTGAAATTTGGGAAGAAAACATCAAATTAAAACAAATAGAAATTCAAATTAGGAAGCAGGATAGTGATGTGGATGAAAGTTTCTGATGATTTTGTTTGACGATAAACAGACAAAAAACTTGTAAATATTTTGAAGGATAATATATCAATTTGATTTTACGTGAAACTTAATCACTGATGTTCTTTACGAATATCAGCCATAGTTGACACTTTTCCAATCATAAAATATCTCTTTGTAGTGGCAAAGACTGCGTGAAAGTAATGGAATTAATAAGCATTTTATGTGCATCTACATAGAATAAATATCATGTCTACATCGTTGTTTTCAAATGGCCGTATCTAGAGTTGGTAGTTCAAAATGGCACATCGTTCGCCGAGTTAAAAAAAAGTCCTTTTTTCTAGCTCCGTTATTTGCGAATGTGCATTGGAGAGAATGAGGGCGGAGGGCGGAGGGGCGAGGCGGGGGCGGGGCTCGTAGTTACTCACTCTTGCACCTTGGTTTGCCGTCAGTAGGTCGGAGAAGAAGGCGGCGGGCAACGCACTCGCCGGCTGCACGCACTTCTCCGTTAGGGGAGCAGTCGTGGTCGCGTCCACGCAGCGGCACCTGGTCCGGCGAGCACACGCCGTTTGTAAGCTGGTCGCCGCTGTAGCCGCGCGGGGCACACGCACTTGTGCGAGCCGGGGCTGTTGACGCACTCCGGGCGTAGCCGCACACCTGGGCGCCGGGACTTCGCGGCACTCGTCCACGTCTGCGACAACACACGCACGCGTCGGCTCGTTTAAGGGCGCTCCACCAGGGCGCTCCCGCGTAACGCATTCTTTGATATGGGATTCGGGCGCTTGATATTTGACAATTATACGGATCACACGCTAAATAATTTGGGGTGAACAAGCCACCAAAACAATTGTGTTTTGCGGGTTGGAAAATAAGAAATGTTTAGTCCACAAGTCGCCGAGCATGCAACAGAAGATCAAGACATTATTATTATTATTTATTATTATTATTATTATTATTATTTTATTATTATTATTATTATTATTATTACATATACAAACATTTCTATTTTCATTATCTCCTGATAATTCTCGAAATATTGTATTGACTTTTTGTATATCCAAGACTTTTCACATAATCGTCTTCAGTGATTCAAACATTTAATAAGTTACAGAACTTTAAAAGACATCTTAAAAATCATCCATTGACGGAAGCGGACAAAGAATGACTTCATCAGCATTATATTTCGTTGGGTGCGTGCCAAAGTTACATTGTTGCAAAGGTAACTGAATATTAAAGGATCCTTCGAAGGAATCAATGGGGCCTGACCAGAGCAGTTGGTGGCGACTGACCTTCGCAGGAGCCGTCGGGGCGCGTGCGGAAGCCCTTGGGGCAGGCGCAGTAGCTGACGCCGCCGGCGATGGTGATGCACTCGGCGCCCGGCGGGCAGCGCTCTCCCCGCGAGCACCCGGCCAGCACGCACTCGCCGTTCACCAGCTGGTACGGTGGCTGGCACTGGCACTGCAGCGAGTTGCACTCTGCGGCACGCACGCACACACACGGAGCGTTAGAATCCTCCATCAACATTCAACACATCAACAACCTCCAACAACAAAGACAAGAGGGAAAAGAACAGGGTGGGTGGTAGCTTTACTCCATTCTTTTTTTCTGGCATTTAAACGTCTTTCCTTCCTCACTGTGCAGAATTTATGGGAAATCGAGAAAAAACAGATCTTCAAGTTACTGAACCCTAGCTTATGTGATCGTCAGCTCCTCAACGGCACCCGGCACTAAGCTTCACGGCGCTACCAAAGGCCAACTTTACACACGTTGTAATATTTTTTGTAAGTTTGTAAAGTTTGTGTAACGTTGTAAAGTTTGTAGGAAATAATTTGATTTTTATGCAGTTGGAGTACAAGAGCCCTGTTTCAAACACTGTCTTAACGATGAGACCTATCTATTGTAATCAGGATACGCTAAAAATATTTGTCCGGAAATAACATTCTTTGTTATTTAGTACAATATAGTAAAAAAATCAAATAAATAGAATCGTTTTTTCAATTAGTAATTCCAAATACTATTCCTGCGTCAAATTATTGAGTAAATCGCTTGAGATCAAAAAAGACCCCAAGCAGAGTCCACGTAAGTATTTGAGAAACAGTGTCGAAGGGATAAAGGACGAAAGACGGAGGGAGGGTAGAGTACCTTCGCAGAGCGAGAAGGGGTTTCCGTTGAATCCGGGCGGGCACTGGCACTCGTAGGAGCCGGGCAGGTTCTTGCAGAGCGCGTTGAGCCCGCAGGCGGGCTTGTCGCGCGCCTCGGCGCACTCGTCCACGTCGCGGCACTTGCCCGAGGCGGCGTCGCGCGCGTAGCCGCGCTGGCAGATGCACACGCCCGCGCCGCGCTCGTCGGGCACGCACTGCTCGCTGCCCGGGCACGGCCGCTCGGCGGAGCAGCTGGGCTGCGGCGGCCCCACGCGCGCGCAGCCGCCGCGGTAGGGGTCGCCGGCGGCGCCGCGCGGGCACTCGCACGAGAAGCCGCCGGGCGCGTTGTTGCAGAGCGCGCCAGCCGCGCAGGGCGACGCCGCGCACTCGTCGATGTCCACGCAGCCCGCGCCCGCGCCGGTGCCGGCGCCCGTGTACCCGGGGTGGCACAGGCACTGCGCCTCCGCGCCCAGCAGCATGCAGCGCGCGTTCGGCCCGCAGTGCACCGTCTCGCAGGGGTCTGCCAACCGAGCACACGCGCGCGTTCAGGCGGAACCAGTTACTTAACTGCGCTCCGGGAACACATGAGATGTTAAGAAACTCGAGACACCACGCAGCCCTGGACGGGCGACCGTCTGAAAATTTCAATTACTAACGGTTCTCGAGATCCTGACCGCATTGACTGTCTGCCACGTAACGAGGCAAAAAGACAGAAACAAAACAGATTTATTGCAGAGGTTAAGAAGTTCGATGCTCAAGAAGGGGTTAGAGACGGTTGCGAAAAAAAATGCAACGATTGTTTGTAAAAAGTCACCTCCACAAATATATTTTGTAAAGCAATAACTATGTCGAAATGGCGTTCGATAACCACATTCTTTGCAATTTACATAACTACACTGAATAAGGAACAGCAGGGCAACGTATAGACACTACTCATTTTGAATTTTCCATAAGCGAAAAGGAAATATATGGCATAAATAGAAAGAATTCTGACTTTGAGTTGGGGCGTACACTCCTTGCTACTTTCAATTTACATGGTATTGTAGTAATGTGAACACGTTTTACGTTTGTACAGCGCATGGAAATTATTTTTTTATTCCCATTGCACCCTTGTACTATAAATGAAGTTGAAAAATGAATAAAAGTATCAACAAAGTGTGGCTAGCAACTTTTGAAAACTTGATGTATTTGCTTCCTGTTTAGAGAAACCTTATTTTCATCAGCAAACAAACTATAGAATTGATTTTAGAGCAAAAAATTTAAATTAAGCTTCCGCGGCTAGAGCCCATGACTTCTTGACGACACGGTGTCACCCGGACAGCCAAGAAATCATTTGAGAGCATTCCTAAAACGTTCCACGTTGGGAGTAGATGGGTGACTGATGACTCACGTCTGCACTCGTGTCCCACGTTGGGCGCCGGGCAGAGGCAGCGGCGCTGGTCGTCGCAGATGGCGTTGCCGGGGCAGTCGGCGTTGGAGGCGCACGTGACCACGCCCACGCAGCGCGTGCGCGCGTCGGGGTCGCCCACGGAGCCCGCGGGGCACTCGCACGCGTAGCTGCCGGGCGTGTTGCGGCACAGCGCGCCCGCGCCGCACGCGTCGGCGCGCGCGCACTCGTCCACGTCTGCGACAAACAGGCGCGCCCTCTCAATCACGCTGCTCTCCACGACGCACTCAGATGCTTACACGAAGAGCGTCGCGCCAGGCGAATAAGGTAGAGAATGAAACCCCAAGTCGTTTAGGAAGGTGGTGGTGGGCTCACTTCAAAGCATGAGGAACGTTAATCACTATTCTTTAATTACATGTTGCATTTTATTTCACTAAAGCGAGGTGCGTTAACACGCATCTCTCCAAATAAATCGTATACTAAATCATAAGACATGAAGTGCATAGGATCAAAAGTTTAATATGTATTGGGAAAGACCAAACTTCTTTATAAAATGGCGCGCATATAAGACGCTTAATAATACGGAACTTAAATAGAGAAAAGTATCTTTCTCGGGTTGAAAATTTATTGTTATCATTGTGTAACATGGGATTTATTTTAAAATTTATTCGGTTCCGTAAAATATAGAAAAAATAGGTAGCTCTATTACAGCTGAATTAGCTGCTTGGTTACGTAAGTGAGTTCGTGAATTTGACTCAAAAACTAATGTGTTATTAATACAACAAACCAATTTGTAGTAAAATAGAGTAACCTAAAATGAATTAATACATGAATTTGTATAAATTACTGATTCTACCTGTGCAAAAACTAAGAGGGGGGGGCAACATCCAATTTTGATTTTTTTAAAGTAATTTTTGGCTAAGAAACCTCTTTATTCTGGTGGTGACAAAAGCATTCTCGTTTAAATATTCGTGCATTTTAATTTAGCAATACTTGAAACCCCTGTAACGCAACTTCAATGTGTATAATGAAGTGAAATGCCTTGCAGTGTCGAACACCAGAATGGCAGTGAATTTGTGTCTTTGAATAAGCCGGTTGTCGCGCGTTGGCACTCACCGAGGCAGTGGGTCTGCGGGTTGCCGGAGAAGCCGGGCAGACACTGGCAGGAGAAGCTGCCCGGGCTGTTGGTGCAGAGCGCGTTGAGGCCGCAGCGGCCCGAGGGGCCGTTCACGGGGTCGCACTCGTCGATGTCTGCAAATCCACACGCCACGTCTGAGCCCTCTTCACAGTCAACTAAAGACGTTACCGTGCCCTAACATTTCTTTCAGGCCATTACAACGATAGCTGTCCTGTGCGGTGCAGCAGTATTCATATTTATAACGTACTTTTACGAATTAAAGTAATTAAGTAATTACGAATTAAATCAATTATAAGTAATTAATCCTGTCTATCAGACCAATGAGTGTTTGTTGGATTTATCATTTTTATTCTATTACGAATGCCATCCTAAAAGCTTAACACATATTTCAAAGATTCATTTATTTTTGCCCTAATGAAATGTGATTATGTGTGCTCTACAAGTCCCTCGCTTTCAGTACCAGATGGCACGGAATTATTGGACACAAAGTTTCACTATTCAAAATCAGAATTCGGGGCGCGATTTAAACATTTTGAACAAGCGAGTATAGACTACACAACCTGCATATTTATTAACGTCATGCTATAGAACCATTCTTCCCCGCAGGCGATGATTTTTAAAATGAATTTGACAATTTTCAAGGAAAATCTGAGTTATTTATACCATCAGAAGCTTTGACGCTTTGCGCTTACCTATGCAGCCGGCTGACACGTCGCTGGGGTTGAAAGTCCATCCGTCTTCGCACACGCAATACGCCTCATGGCCGTCAGGTCTGCAGGTGGCGTGTGGTCCGCATTTCACGTCTTCGCAAGGGGCTGCAGGACAACATCAGGGGTTACTTCCCTCTCTTAGAGCAACGGCCTTTCTAACCACATACGCGTGCACTCTAATGATGCAAAAATAAACGAGGTAAACGCTGAAAACCTCTGTAGGCGAGTGTCTGAGAGGAAAAAGAACTCAGCAAGTTTCCCGTTTCCACTATTACATAATTAGACCCTTGTTAGATCCTATTTATAAACGCAGAACTTCTTTGGTTTCCCGGGAACTATTTACGTAATTGTCGTAAACAACTCGTGAATCCAATATGCACAAAATGGCGTAATCAGCAATCTGAAAGTCGAGGTCGTCGATTTCATTACTAGTCGATGATTTCATAGCGAGTGTATTACAAACGTAAGCATTGCTAAGACCAACAGGAGTCGTTAATGCAAACGGCCGCAGCTCGTTGCCTCCGTTGCGGCATCGGACGCTGAGAGCGCGTGACTCACAGGCGCCGCCTTGCGTCGGGTGGGCGGTACCTGCGGACGCGGTGCCAAGACGCGAGAGCCTTTTATTACGATGGGAGTATCAAATTAACATTTGACGACATCCTTGTTTAGATTCAAATGACTTGTTCGGTTGATATCATCACATTGCTTTTCCCAGTTGACTAACGTTCGTTGGTGAACGCACAGCAATTCAACACAGAGAAAACAGTCCGTGTTAGCTAAAATTTATTTGTACGTAAAACAACATGGTTCATAGTATTATTTATTTTTAAATAGAAACATATGTTATTCACTATGCTAGATATTATTTATAATCAAACGTCTAACACTACGATTTTATCTGACCTGTTAAATTATTGTATGCTTTTTCATTAGCTCCTGTAAATTCGCTGATAAGTCGTTAAATTGTAGTTTACGTAACAAGGGCGTGAAACAGGTGATTCGCGCACGAGTCGAATTTGTCGTCTGAGCGTAGCTCGGTCAACAAAGAGACAAGTGCCGAAAACACTCTCCGCTCGGGTGGCGTATACTATTTTTATCACGCCGTGAGCGAAACGCAATGCATCAAGTAAAGGAATTTAAAATAAATAGAAACACGATACTTGTACAAAAGTAAATGAATTCCAGTCGGTCTCGTAACACTATTTTTTGTAAATAATAAAGAAAGACGTCAAGACGAGAGAGAGTTGTTACACTCACCCTTGCAGTGCACGCGCGGGGGCGCGCCCACGTAGCCGTGCTCGCACTCGCAGTGGTAGCCGCCGGCCGAGTTGGTGCAGAGCGAGAAGGGCCCGCAGGGGCTGGCGGCGCACTCGTCCACGTCGGCGCACAGCGCGCCCTGCGCCACGAAGCCCTTCTGGCAGAAGCACTGGTTCTCGATGCACTCGGCGTTGTTGGCGCAGTCGAAGTTGGAGTTGCACAGCACGTTCACGTCGACTTGCTCGCAGGCGACCGCGGGGTCGGGCTTGGCGGCGTAGCCCTGCGGGCACAGGCACGTGTAGCCCGGCGCCGCGTTGCGGCACTCGGCGTGGGCGCCGCACGGCTGCTCCAGGGCGGTGCACTCGTCGATGTCTGCGCACACAGAGCACACCCTCAGCACCACGCACAGAATCACGTCAAACGGGAAAGTCGTTTGCTACACAGAGGAGCTGGAATTATACGCCTTTTCGGTACAGGCAGCCACTTGTTCTACATTACAATATTTACAGTTTTCACAAGTCAAAATTAAAGTCTTCTTTTTTTAGGAATGACGTAATTTCCCAAGTAATTTTCACTTTAGGCGTTTCCGTTGCGGATTCTGATTTTCGATGTTAAAGCGAATTGTTATTCATGTTCGAACTATTTCGGGGTAGAAGTATGAGGACAGGATAAAACATTTAATGTCATGAATACATTTGGAAGAAAGCCTTCAGAGACGGTAGATTTACATAAGAGGCGATTGATATTCTCTTGTTTGCGATCACTTACGTCATACTGTATGCCGCATTTCTGTATATCGTATATACTGTGTAATCTCATGCAAATGTCTTTCAGTACCTACTAGTTATGCATATCTGTTTTAAGTAGCTGAATATGTACATATGAGTAGTGTGTTAAATATTTATCTAGAGGCGGTGTTACTTAGTTCTCGTTTAGATTGCTTTGGGAAAGTATCAGCGAAGGGGCGAGAAATGGTTAGGGAACAATTGACGTCTGCACCGGGAACGCCTGGCTCCACAGAGCGGCCGCGTTATATTGACAGCCACATCACAATCTCTCCCACGCAGCCGGATGCCTTGCAGCTTGTTCCTTACATCCTCGGGACATGCCAGTCGCCGATGCATCTTGCGCAACTTCCTTTAGTGCGCGTAATGACAGACACGCGCTTCAAACTACTAACAATTTGATCTCTAAATGCAGGAAACTCGCCCCCATTGTTCAAATTGACGAAGCGTAATTTAGTATTTGAATATTTCTGCCATTTACTATTCCAGTATGGACAATTGAAATAGAAAAAAAATCATATCTGTCAAAGACCTGTATTTGGTGTGAAAAATATGATTAACACAACCATTGGATTTTACAAAGCGTAAAGAAATATCTAAATCATGATTTGTTTAATTTTAGTTTTAACTACCCTTTGCATTGCTAGGTAAATTGTTGAGATATTTATTTTCTCATCGCATATTGTTAATTGAAAATATACTACTGCATTATGATTAGGATTTTTAATAACGTTATGTCCTCTAAAATACGTTTTAGGATTTATTGGAGAAAACTTCTACTTTTCTCTTTGCGATAATATTACATTATACACCACGAACGAATGTACAGATCAACGAAGTGAATGAGTAATTCATGAGGTTGGCCGCCCTGCTTGAGTGCGGGGGAGCGGCAGCGGCCTCGCGCTGTCGCCAACGAGGGCGCTGGTGTCGCGCCGCGCCGCGAATAAAGAGATGCAGGGCGCACCTGCTCAGGTAAACACGACCTCTGCATTGGCAACGGCAAGGAGGCGCTGCAGGCAATTCTCCGGTTTCCAAGAACAGAAAGCGCGCGGATGACACACTTGTTATGTTGTAAAAAGCATACATGTGCGAGTTTTGGTTCCGGTACTACGTTGTGTGTGTTAGTATCCAAATTTAGTAATACTGTTCTTGATATAAATACAGAAATTCAAATAGTGGCTGATTGTGGATATGTATTGGAATTGTAGGCATGATATTGTTGGTTGGTATTGCAGGTTGAGGCTCAATTGCTGTTGTAGCATTATGTCAACCAGAAGACACGACTGTGTAATAATTCTTTCACCGGTCAGAACACATTCCTTCCCTGAGAAAAAGGATAGAATGATTACGTTTCTGAACACTAAAATTGATGAATCATTTTCTTTCTAATTTTGCACAAATACTCGGTGTGTACCCAAGCAATAAGTCGCTGGCAGGTGTAGAACTGTGACCCTTGGGTCTTCCAAAAAAATACGTTTTCATCTTTTTGTAATTTACATCATGTCTATCTGTTACACATTACCGATTTTTGTTGGCAAATAACCCAATTTAAATAATAGCGCAGTCATTTTGCGAGAGAAGTATGACGCCAGCCTCGCCTGAAACGTCCGTTCGAAAGAAGCAGATGCATAAAGGTGAGCAGGGGAGCGTCTGGAGGAATTTGCTGGTTTACTGGAGTGATGGGCGAGAACGCTCCGCGAGCGGCGCGAAAGAAGCGATGACCTTGCCAGATGCTCGGCCCACGCGCACCGGACAGATGCATCTCAAGGGACTGAGCGTGACCAAGCAGAACCATTTGTATTTGGGAGAACCCGCAAGGGGAGGAACGAGAACAAAACAGCTCGCCTTCTTTTTAAGAAAAAAATAAACTAAAAATTTAGTGACTCATCTAAATATCTTTTACTTTGATCTCATTTTCTTTGCGCTCAAGTAAGAATTCAGTGCTTGTGTGAGTTCTTTCTGTCTGTTCAAATAATGTTTTTGCACACAAAATTGCTATGGTATTGATTTTTAACACTTTTGAGATATATATTATTCGAAACAAAAAATAAACTTAGTTTGTGGCGGAAGCAGAGAAAAATATGGTTTATCTTTACAGTGAAGTGGCTGGAAGCAATCAACATAATCCAAAGCTAAACTCTTTCACATGTAGAAATTCCCATATACTAATATAAAGTGCATGTTAATATTTATTCAATAGTGAAAGTTACTGCGAAAAGTAATTGTAGTAATTTGGTTATTTTTTTTAAATATCGTTAGGAAAGACAATTATCTTTCTGAAATCATAGAGCACATGTCACGTGGCGACGAATATTTGCAAACTACATCAAAAGAGATGAACAGAGAAGGTACAGATGATAAATGAGAACAGCTGCTACGCGTAGTGGTCCTCTTTCGGGGGTGGCTACTCACCAACGCATCCCTTGAACGGATCGCCGGTGTAGTCCTCTTTGCAGGAGCAGATGAAGCTGCCGACGGTGTCTGTACAGACGGCGTTCTCTCCGCAGGGGTTGTCCTTGCACTCGTCCACATCTGCAAAGCGTGGCGCCGTCAGCCCTCCGCGTACGCATACGTCAAGTGCTTGCGCTAAGTGCTTGCGCCCAGTGCTTGCGTTAAGTGTGTGCAATGCCCTCGGCTAATGACTCTTGTTCGGCGACGCAACTGCTCATTACCGCGAAAACGAACATGTGTCACTCGAGCAGTTTTCAACAGAATGCGCCAAAGCAGGGAATGCACTCAAGGAAGCCGAAAGATGCTACACGAAATTTGAAAATGTACTATGTAATACGAAATATTCATATAAGGCGCAAGGGAATCTTATTTTGCGTGAATCCTTTCTAGGAGACAATTAACTACTCGGAGTAAAAGCGGAGTAGTAGAGCGAAAAAAAATGTTGACGATCACAGACCCCATTGACAATTTCCAACAGTTATACATTAAAAATTTAATTTTCCACCGCAAATATATTTTATTTATCTGTTTTTAGATATTAGAATATTTATTTATTTTTAATTTGTTGCATTACCCGAGATCATTGCACCATAAAATATAAACATAGAAAGACGTAGAAGAAACAATACAAATACTACAATCTGAAATAAGAATAGCTGAAATTTATTCCACATTTTAGACAGTCAAGGGAAGTCACAGTTACATTAAGATTTTAAATTGTTCTAAAAAGGAAAAAAACACAACATTTTAAAAACATAGTATAGTATAAACCCATAGTAGCGTCTAAAGAAAAATTAGAAACAAAATGATTGGACAGTATTTACTCTAAGAAGCACACATAAACAACGTACACACATTGAAGCTGAACTACTTAAACAATAAAAGAAACATATTCAGCATTCAAAAACATATTCTACAGCACTAGCCCAATAGGAGAAAACGTAGCAAAGTAACTGAAGGTAACGTAAGGGCCGCGGACATTTGGGATGGTGACTGGTGGAATTACTTTGCATCATTTCATGTACAAAGTGTTTGAATGTCGTGAACATGTTTGTGTGTCCTACAACACTACCACAAGGGTAGAGGAGTGGGGAGGGGGGGGGGCAGGAGGCGGATGCGGAGCGCAGCCGCATTTGTTCTCAGCGCTGCAATCGCTGGGAAGATCGTGCTCCGGAGAGCGGCTGAGCGCGGTCGCTCCCGGAGCCCGGAAACCCCGACTGCAGCGCGGCGGAGCTTTCCGGCAACAGGGAACGTGATCCTCGGGCTTCCAAATTGGGGGAAACAATGCTCGGGAGGCC